CATGCATCACATAAGATCCCTTTTAGTTGTTAAAACACCATCTTTATTCCAAGAAATCATCCTTTTATTAATCATAATGGTTTGGTATCAAAATATAGGATTCCATAACTCAAAAATCATGTTTTCTAAATAAAAATTGATTAACATATGATAGGAAATTCAATTATTAGCAATTAGCTTCATTTTCTTCAATAGTGTAGGGAGACAGTCTACTGTCACTTCTGATAATCTACTGTCTGATGTTCAGAATGGGCTGATAATCGATTATCACACTCTGATAATCGATTATCAAACTTCAGAGAGGGCTGACAGTCGATTATCACATTCTGATAATCGACTCTTGCTCAGCTTTGTTACAAAAATCTGCAGAACGATGAATAATCGATTTTCAAGTTGATAATCGATTATCCATCGTCTTCTACCTCGAGCCAACTTGCGGAAATGTCACTTTTACTCACCAAACTTCAATTAAAGTATATAAAAATGTTCTCCAAGGTTCATGGATCATTTTAGCATCACTAATTCATAATTTTAACATCAATTTCATGGTTTATGATTCTTAGTTCTTCAAGTATGTCAAACACAAAACTCAACCAAATGACCATTTATGAACGTAGAAACGACCTATATGAACATTCTAGTCATTAGATATATCTAGGGGCTTACCTCGAAGCTTAATGGAGGTTTTGGAAATTTTCCGGCGAGTATTTCTCCCAACTCCAGCGACTTCACACCAAATTGACAGCACCACAACACTCCTCACACTTTCATGAACATTTAGGAAGAAGAATGAAGAAGAATGGTGAAGAAATGAGAAGGTTGGATTTTCTTATATAATGAGAAGGAGAGAAGAAGAAGAAGGTGACTCTGCGATCGGCGTAGTGGGGAAGGAGGCGCCGTCTAAACAGTTCCCTGATTGGGGCCTATTTTGGTTCCAGTCGGGGTACACTTTTTGGTCCAACTTTCTCCAAATTGAAATCCGTTTGCACCGTTGCAATCAGACAGTCGAGCTCTATCCAACGATATACTTTTCATAATTATTTGTAATACTTTTTCCGACATCATATTTTTGGGTGTTTGACTTTAACAGAGTCAAAATTGGTTTAATTGACCTTTCTCATAAAAGGTTCTCTCATTTAATTCATATCAATTATTCTCATGATTTATTTCAATAACTCATTACAAAGTTCACATCATAATTAATTAATT